GATTACAGGACACAACACCACGCCCACACTCCAGTGTGCTCAGATTATAGTAAAGAACACTATGCCCAGCCACTCTGTCCCTTATATTCACTTTTCTAGTTTTTCACACTTGAAATTTAAAGTACTATAATTTTAAGATAATGGTTTATTTTAATTCATATTCCTAACATAAATATGAATTTAAATAAAAATTACTATCTCATGATAGTTTCTTTCATAGGAGATGATTTATTTATGTCTATGATGCTTGGCCTACAATGATTCAATAACTATTACCTTCTATTAGGGACAGAGCTACGAACCCACATAGTGCTTACCTCAGTGCCTAAATGTAGAAGATTCTAGTATTTTCAAATAATGAATCCAAGTATAAAAGTCCAGCATTAATTAAGTCCTGCTGTAGAGTTTTGGAGTTGACGAGGAAACCGGCACTTCTCTAGCACCCCATAACCCTCTGTCAACTTGAACGGCAAGAATGAGTGTAGAAGTGAAGGCTAATACTAGTGTAGAACCCAGTTTACTGACTGACTTCTCCCATGGTCTCCTCAGGAATGCACTTGTAACACTCCATGGCTTGAATGTGCTACTTACTGTGGTGTGATGGGATATATTGCCAACTATGTTGAGGTTTTTGAGCAGCTGGGGGGAACCACTGTATTGTGCAGAGATTTGCTTTCTGACTTCAGCAGCAACAGTTCTAGAACACAGAAAATAATACATTACACACATGTGCACACCATATAGAGAAAGATAGAGATATATTTAAGAAATCAAAACATTTATAATGGAGAGAAGTACACTAAAATTTTATTTATAAAATAACAAAGTCTAGGCATATTAAGGTTAAATTCATAAAGAATCTTAACAATTTTGTTCTTGCTTATAACATCTTTTTCGTTTTTACTTTTTTGAGACAGAATCTCACGTAGTTCTAGCTGGCCTCGAACTCACTATAACATCTTTTTAATATTGATGGAGGATACAAGCAGTACAGCTAATTTTTATATGGTTGATTCTAATGCGACATTTTCAGAATACAATCTATGATATCATATAAGTTATAAAATACATACATAAGTTAAAATGTAAAGATTGAAAATAAATTCTCAACTATTTTATAAATCAAACTATGCTAAGAATTGGAAGAAAAAAGTTCTTCTTTCTTTTATAACATTACTACCTCCTCATTTATGCCCCCAGAAAACTACTTCCTATTTTTACTTAAGTGGCAATGTCCTCTTACCCAGGTAATAGGAGCTTCCCATAATCTGATCCTAATTTCTCTCTCCAGCCTTTCATATTATTAACCAAACTCTTTTATAATTGCTCATACTGTTTGAAAATTTCATATATGCATACAAGGCATCTTGGTCAAACCTACCATCATCCCCTCTCCTCCAATCCCTCCAATTAATCCCACACGACTGTTCCCTCTCTACTTTATGCACCCTTTTTTTAACCCACTGACTGAGTCACCTTACTTCTGCCCACAAGTCTAGGACATCTACTGAATCATGGGTAGCCTTCAGCAGTGGCATCCCTGATCTTGTCAATGAACACAAATTGTTTCCTGAGATTTTTGCCTCTTTTGTTAACCAACCCAACTCTGAAGTCAGTTTAAGGGTAAAACTCAGGAAACAAGATCTTCATGCGAACTTCTTGAGTTGGTGCAGTTTAAACATACCACATGTTTTCAACTTCTAGGAAACCTAATTTTTATTCCTTGCTGTTTCTTCTGTTTCATGTATACTCTATTTAAAAGGTATTAAGTGTATCTGTCTTTTGTCCCTAAAATATTTTGCTTGCCCCTGGAGCATCTGCATTTGGAACCAGCACTGGAAGCCAGGCTGCTGAAACAGCTGTAACCCAATGCTGGAGCTGGGGACGGAGACTAGTGCATCCCTGAAGCTCATTAGACTGTTCTGAACCAGTCAGCTCCAACAAGGTAAGCATGATAGAAAGACACCCCAAGTTGACCTCTGACCTCCACATACACATGCACACATGTACATCCACTTCCATGAACACACAAACAGGCTCTTGCACTCAACACCATTATGAAAGCTCTGTACAGCATACATCACACATGACTCTTTGACAGATGTAACCACAAAGCCACTACCATAAAAGATAAATCTTCACTTGAAAAATCAGCAAGAGAATGCAGTAATCCCACGACTTTAAAGTATTTGGTGACCTTATATATTAGCATTTTGAATTTATTTAAATAATATTTTAAAACAAAATTTAAACATTCAAATGGATTCATAGCTTACTAATGACTATAATTCTCAGTTTCCACAAAACTGTTAACCAAAATAATCAGTGACTTCCAAATCACGCAACAAATAACCTTTCCCATTATATTAATGAGATTTTTGTTAATGTAGGTCACAAATACAACAAAGACTATTACCACAGAGCTTGTGCAATTGTATCCCGGTGTCAATATCTAACGTCTACCCTAATTCTCAAGCAACTACTTCTCTATTTTATAAAATTTTCCTCCTATTCTTTGACTCTTTACCAAAAAGTTAACCCTACTTCCTCTTGTCATCCCATGCACATAAAGTGGTACCTACTGGATGGCCTGGCGTTCCTGCAGTCGTGACAATAGTTTTAAGAATATTCTCAAGCTCACGGTTGGATTTAGAACCTCAATTTCCAATGGAGTTTTAAGAAAATCTCATTTTCCAAAAATTATCCAGAATTAATGTAATCTTTCCCCCTACTTTATCTCTTCAGTGTCTTTTTCCTTCTTTCACAACCAAACATTCTATATGAATTTCTTAAAGATGGTTATAAGCTAAATATGCAAGTCTAAGTGCTTTGTTCTAAGAGTTATTCTCTAAGGCTCAAGATACTGAGCTGTTCATTTTTCACCTTAATGTTTTGAAAGAGACTAAATCATGATTCATAACTGACAAAACTTGGAAGCAATTAAGCCGTTCTTCAATGAATGAATGGATATACAAAGTATGTCACATCCATATAATAAATTACTTATTTGGGAAAGGAAATGGGTTATCAACCATGCAAGAAGAGTCAGTTCCAAGAGAAAGAAAGCAGTCTTAAAAGACTACATATTATGTAATTTCTGCTTTATGGCATAATGAAATAGGCAAAAGCATGCACACTGTCTCTAGGGGCTGAAGGGGAATGAGAGAGGGGCATTTAGAAGCCGTCCTAGCCTGCCTTCTACTGCTGTGATCACCATGACTAAAAGCACCCTGAGGAGATGCTCTGAGGCAGAGACCACAGAGGAGTGCTGCTTGCTCAGCCTGCTTTCTTATATAACCCAAGGATGGCACCAACCATCGTGGGTTGGTCCCTCCCACCTTAATTATTAAGCAAGAAAATAAATGCCCCATAGACGTGGCCTATGGGGCAATCTGATGGAGGTATTTTCAAGGTTGCTTCTTCTTCCCAGACAATCCTAGTTTGTGTCAAGTTGACCAAAAAACAAACAACTAAGAAAAACAAAACAAACAAAAAAAACCCTCACCAGCACAGAGAGGGAAACTATTCTGTGTGATACTATAATAGTGGGTATATGTCATTATATATCCGTCAAAAATCCTGTTGTACTCTGGACTTTAGTCTACAATGATTCATTCATACTAACTCTGGCTCATTCGATTAAAACTAGTGCAGAAACACACTAACTAACTACTAGTAAGGAAAACTAACTAACTTACTAGTAAGGAAAACATTGAGAAGGTATTAGTAATACAGCAGAAGTCATCATGTTTCCAGAATTAAAATGGAAAAAAACTGGGCCTTTGTAACCCCAACAAGCTAGATTTAGGCAAAGAGGGGAGATTTACTCAGTGTAGCCATACTGATAAAAAGAGAAAGGAAAAAACCACCTCAGTTAACTAGGAGAGGGTAAGAGAGGAAGAGAAGAGCTTCAGAGACAGCTAGAGGAAGTCAGGTGGTGGTGGCGGCGCACACCTTTAATCCCAGCAGAGGCAGGGAGAGCTCTGTGAGTTTGGGGCCAGCCTGGTCTACAGAGTGAGTTCCAGAACAGCCAGGGCGTTACACAGAGAAAACCTGTCTTGAAAAACAAAAACAAAACAAAAAACCAGCTAAAGGTAAAGCTGAAAACTGGAGACAGAACACAATTTTTTGAGGGGGGGGAAGGGAGATAAAGAGAAAGAGAGAGAGAGAGAGAGAGAGAGAGAGAGAGAG